TCCTTGGGTGGAGCAAGGGCTTTGCTCATGAAACCACTCTGGCCGGGGCAAGTGCACAGACAGGTACAGTTGAAATACTTAGTGTTTGGCAGAAATAATGGATTCAAAGACCAGAAATTGTGATAACTGGAGGTACTACAGTCTACTTCCCAACCTTAGGCAGTAACGGCTACCACAAACTGCAGTGATTTTTGCACTGTGATTATAATACCTGCATTTTTAATTTTTAAGCATGTAGTCAGTAATAATTTGAAATTTTTTATGCAAACTTATCCTATGGGCATTATTTTAGTGAATTGAAACTATCCAGTTGTAATGCTCTTTTTTTTTCCTCCATTTTATTTTAAAAGCTCATGTCATTTAAAAACAAGACAAGAAATTAAAATTTATTGAATAGGTCAGACATTTTTTTCCTGGAAATTTTTTTTAAGGGTATGAGTCACCACATACTCACTTCTGCCTCACAGGAGGGGAATAAAAAGATAACAGCCATAGAAATACTATAGTAGACATAAATAGTACTCTGTAAATGTGGGCTTATGCTCTGTTGTGCCTGAATTGAAATTAAATATTCTTCTAAGACTCCATTTTGCCTGCCTGACTGGTGGGAGATTCAGTCTCGGTCCTTGTTGGGGTCTCTTCGCCTCCCCAGAGTCAAACAAGATTCTAAAATGTTTACAGAAACAGGAGAGGGGCTTGCAGTCTCCAGCCCAGCACCGTTTTTGCACTGCCCTCGTCAACTGAGCCCACAGAATTGCTAGGAAGGAGCAAATCCACTGTTTCTGTGGAAGGTGAGGCCCCGGCGGTCTGTGCCCAGGTGAACCCCAGTGTCCTCACCCCTCCTGAGGCCCTGCTGGTGGGACCCCCCCCCCGACCTTTGACCTCTTCCTCCTGTGGAGGAATCTTCTGTCTTCTTCCTTACGGAATTCCCCCAAGTTGGGAAAACCACAGCCAGAAAGACAGGTTGTCTACCAGCAGCTTGAACTTCACAGCTTCTGCGGGCAAGTTCGTACCGAGATGCTGGGCATGCGCATGAAGTGGGGACAGGAAAAAGACAGAGCCCAAAACACAAATGAATAAATATCTCCACAAATGGTCTTAGGTCATGAGTACTATTAATAAGTGGCAAACGTTTTTGAGCATGACTCTCTGCTCACACAGATGATCAAATTTAATTCTCCAAACTTTGCCATGTGCTAAAGACAGACAACTGAGGCTTAAAGAGTTTGAGTAACTTTCCTGGTAATAAGTAGCAGAGCTGGGATTCGAACCAAGTCTGCTGGGCTCAAAATTCATCCCCTATGTTATATTTTCTCTCCTACGGGGTATTAGTAATCATGCATTTTGAGCACAGTGAGCTGCCAGCATAGGTTAGCTACAGCGGGAGCTCCCAGACAGCTCAGTGAATTCATCCATGGAACACCATTGCTCAGAGTTCTCCATCTGGTTGTCAGGGTGCATTTGCCAAGACTGGGGAACAACAGTGCTGCTTTGGGCGCACTTACTGTTTAGACAATAACTGGTCAGCATGTTCAGCTGCTTCTTGAGGTCACTCCTGGGAGATGAAGATAGGACCCCATGTCGGCATAAACAGGTTGGTTGTTTTCTTTCTGCTCTGTCAAGAGGCCATTATCTCCGTCATCTCGAAGTTACACCAAATTGCTCAGGTGCAGGTTCAAAAAGGGGGGGAGGATATGGTTCGGCCTAGTTTTCTGTTGTTTAAAATAGAAAATTGATGGATCTGAAATCCATTTTTTGCTTAATACAATTCTTGAGGTACTATTTTAATAAAATCCTTTAGTCTTTTAAAAATGTAAAGTCTTTTAAGAACATTTCAAAAGCCGTAGATCAATTTTTAAATTGTATAGGTTGGCCCATAAACAATTCTTATTTATGGAGTCAAAACCAATGCATTCAGTGAATCGATACATAACATAGTCATTATGGCCCTACTAACCACCACCCACCTACTAAGCTGGGCGTAATGGGTGATTCAAACACAGGCTGGGCTCTTTACTCAAGATGTTGATAATATGCTTTAGGGGCTTTCAAATGTTGTATGCCTCAGAATCATCCCTGAAGCTTGTCAAAAATAGAGCTGCCTGGACCCCGCTCCAGACCTACTGTCTTAGTCCGTTCGGGCTGCTAGAACAAGATACCACAGACTGGGTAGCTCAAAGCAACAGAAGTCTATTTCTCATCATTCTGGAGGATGAGAAGTCTAAGATCAAAGTGTTAACATGGTCTTCTGGTGAGGGCCATCTTACTGATTCATAGCTGGCACCTTTTCACTGTTTTCTTACATGGTGAGAGAGGCTAGGGAGCTCTCTGGGGCCTCCTTTTTAAGGCACTAATCCCACTTATGAGGGTTCCACCCTTATGACCTAAGTATCTCCCAAAGGCCCACCTCCTAATGTCATCATCTTTGGGAGTTAAGATTTCAACATATGAATTTTGGGGGGACACAATTAGACCATAGCACCCATTGAATCAAAACCTTGAGTGGAGCTTGGGCATCTTTAACAAGCTCCTTAGGTGATTCTAATACTTACCAAGGTTTTTGAGCCTGCCATGTGGTTGATGGTGTTTTGGTAATGTAAGACACTACAGTGTTTTCTGTGTTGTATTGCATTCTACATATGTCCATGCATCATCACAGGAAGTATGTATAGGAGATATATAGACATACACGTGTATCGAGAGACACAGTAGTCTTTTATTTGCATGTATGTTGAAATGTACCTGCAGGTAAATATATACCTATTATCTTGAATCCTAGTAAACCTTTATTGAGCATCTGTGTGTATCAAGCATTGTTAATTCATTCAACAAGTAGTTGTTAAGAGCCTACTATGGGCCATCAGAAAATAAAACAGACGAAAGTCCCTGTCCTCAGGGAGCTATATTTTAATAGAGAAACACCAACAGTAAACCAATTAGACAATTATATGATGATGAGCACCATAGCAAGAAGTTAGGAGGGGTGGGGCCTGCCACTGGTGGGGGCGGATCCCAATTTAGGGTGATTGGGGAAGCCTTGAGGGAGGAGGGGGGGGAGCGATATGGATATTTGGAGCACACCTGGTCCAGGTTTGCGGAACAGGAAGTGCAAAGCCCTGATCTCAGTGGGAGTATTCCTGGTGGTTTCAGGAAATAAGGAGGCCAGGGGCTGGTACACAATAGGAGATGCAGTCAGAGAGGCAAGGAATGGGCTGAGGGAGATGTGGATCTTGTAGGGGCCTGTAGGCTTCTGGAGGAGTTTGGCTTTTGCTCTGAGGGAGATGGGAAGGGTTCGCATCCTGGGGATGATATAATCTGACAGGTTTTAATGGGATCATTCTGGCCAATGAGAACAGGCTGCTGGGGGTTGGGGGGAGGCTGGAATCCAGTGACCAGTTAGGGGGCCACTGTAGTAATCCAGGGTAGAGATGGTGAATGGGCTGGGAAGGGAGCAGTGAAGGTGGTGAGAGGAACGTGGCTTCCGGTGCGCTGTGAAGGAGCCAGCAGTTTTGCTGATGGTTTGGATGCAGAGGGTGTGAGGGCTGCAGTAGGAAGGTTTCCGAGGATGCTGGGTGTAACCATTGGTTCTACTTACTCTCTGGCCAGGTTTGTTTCTGGATGTGGGTCATGATTTGGTTCCATCAAAATGACTGTGTTTTTGTTTTTTTATAAATTTATTTTATTTATTATTTTTGGCTGTGTTGTGTCTTTGTTGCTGCGTGCGGGCTTTCTCTAGTTGTGGCGAGGGAGGGCTACTCTTCATTGTGGTGCGCGGGCTTCTCATCGCGGTGGCTTCTCTTGTTGCGGAGCACGGGCTCTAGGTGCGTGGGCTTCAGTAGATGCAGTGCGTGGGCTCAGTAGTTGTGGCTCGCGGGCTCTAGAGTGCAGGCTCAGTAGTTGTGGCACACGGGCTTAGTTGCTCTGTGGCATGTGGGATCTTCCTGGACCAGGGCTCGAACCCGTGTCCCCTGCATTGGCAGGCGGATTCTTAACCACTGTGCCACCAGGGAAGCCCTGTATTTTTGTTTTTAAAACGTATCTTGTACAATTAACATTTGTAAGGTTATTGTATGTACATGATACCTTAAAGGAAAAAAAACCTCATCTTCAGGAGTGGTCAGGGTAGTCTGACTGACTGCAGTAAGACCCTGACGGGGATATTGGTAAACAGGGACTGTAGCCACAATGACGTCTCTTCCTGACATGTAGAAAAGCTGCTTTTGCCAACAAAAATATATTCTGGATATGATAATGGATAATATTTATTGCTCACTTTATTTCAAAGCCCTTCTATATAAATCCTCAAAAAATCCTTTCTAAGGCTGATAGCGGAGGATAGTTCCATCCCCATTTGAGGATTCAGGAACTCGAGACCTAGAAAAGATGGCGTGTGGGAAGGATGAACTTTGCTAGATCAGATCTTCTATCCTGTGACATTCTCCTCTTGATCGTGTGGCCCAATGTGTAGTGACTGGACCTCAATCCAGGGAACAGAAGTGCGCGCGTGTGCGCGTGCACGTGAATCACACTTGGGTTACTAAGTACAATGATGTGTTAAAGGAATTGGAACTGATTGTTCTTACGTTCTGTAACTCAGGCCTCTTGGTCCTTCTCCTTGTTCTGCCTTCTCTGTTCATTTGGTCATTTTATTTCTGGATAGTAATGTTCACTGAAGGGTGGGATAGGGAAATAAGAAGATGTGAAAGTCACATTAGGTAGCGTGGAGAATAATCTTAATAAAAGCCACAGTGGAGAATGCAGTTGTAATTAACACTAAAATGAAATTCTCAGTTGCCAGTGGATTTCAGCTTGCTTCACTTTCCTGATACTTCGTTCCCGTAAAACAAACAAACAAACAAACAAAAAACCTGAGTTTGATTATGTCACGCACCTAGCAAGGCCGGGTTCTTTGTCTTGCTGAAGGAGCCATGTCTTTATTGGGATGGCTGTGAGCAGGGCCTGGGCCAGCTAACAGCATTTAATGCATTTGCCTGTTTCAGTTTGCAGTGATGACCTCACTCACAAATTCAAAGGTTTCACCGTGATGAACGAAGCAGAGAGATACGAAGCGCTGAGACACTGTCGCTATGTGGATGAAGTCATCAGAGATGCTCCGTGGACACTCACGCCAGAGTTTCTGGAAAAACACAAGGTACTTATTCTTCCACGTTCTCTAAGTAGCAGAATTAGGGAGTCGCCTGTTTCTACAGCTTATACCCAGAAAGTCCAAAGACTCTTCTCATTTTGGAAAGAGGTAACTTCAGGCACTGTCATGTGATGTCACTTGATGCAGCACCTGTCCTGTGCCCACACCTGGGGACCAACAGCATCCCACTTCCTCAGTGTAGTCTCTGGAGCTAGACCACTCAGGTCCATGTGTGGCTTAACTTCTTAACTGTGGGACCTTGAGCAACATATTGCACTCACCTACCTAAACCAGAAAATGGGTGCTGTTTTGAGGATCTAATGAGATCATCTAGTAAAACCCTTGGAACACTGGCTGGCTCAAAGCAAGAGCTCCAAATATGTCATCATCATTATCACCATCATTATTATTGATGCTTAGAGTTCCACAGGCATCATTTTTCATGGAACAAATGACCACATATCTTATCCAGAGGGACAGGGGTCAGGCTTTAAGGAAAGAACTGTATATCTCTGATTTTGTGACCCTGAGACTCCTACTGATAGAAGATTTTTATTAGTTGAAAACACGAGAAATCCTTTTGATCTGCATCAAATTATGTGCTTTGTATCTCCCTACCAGCCCCACATTAGGAGCTCTTCTTTCCTTTTATAAGCAGTACAAAAAAATAAGATTAAGCTGTTCTAAGAGTTTTCTATTTTTAAATCCACGATGCAGGAGAGAATAGAGAACACTGATAAATGTGCATGGGTAATAGCAGAGGAGACAATTTCCCAGCAAGAATAAAAAGAAAAAGGAAATATGATTTACTTCCAGCAATCACTGACACACTTTTACTAAGCATCTATTGTATCTTCAGCTTGTGTGCAGCATTATGGGGATGCTGATGATGGCTGCCATTTATCGAGTACTTTCCATGTACCCAGCCCTGTGCTAAGTGCTTTGCTCTTACATGAATCACATTCAATCTCATGGCTACCCTGAGACGTTGTTGTTGTCATACACTGGAGACGAGAAACAACTAAGTTTGAGTACGAAGAATAGAATTGATGATAGTAACATTTATTGAGTACTTGCTGTGTACCAGTTATTATTTTTAGCACTTTTACATAATTATATTATTTGATCCAGTGATTCTCAAGTGGGGGCAAGTTTGCCCCCAAGGGACATTTAACAGGGCCTGGAAACATTTTTGGCCATCATAACTAAAGGGGTGCTACTGGCATCTAGTGGGTAAAGGACAGGGGTGCTACTAAGCATCCTACAATGCACAGGACAGACTCTCCCCCTCCAACAAAGAATTTTTTTATATGTAAATTTATGTACTTTATTTATTTATTGGCTGTGTTGGGCCTTCGTTGCTGTGCGCGGGCTTTCTCTAGTTGCAGTGATGGGGGCTACTCTTTGTTGCGGCGCGCGGGTATCTCATTGTGGTGGCTTCTCTTGTTGCAGAGCATGGGCTCTAGGCATGCGGGCTTCAGTAGTTGTGGCGTGCAGGCTCAGTAGTTGTGGCTCGCGGGCTCTAGAGCACAGGCTCAGTAGTTGTGGTGCACGGGCTTAGTTGCTCCGTGGCATGTGGGATCTTCCTGGACCGGGGCTCGAACCCGTGTCCCCTGCACTGGCAGGTGGATTCTTTTGTGTGTGTGTGTGTGTGTGTGTGTGTGGTATGCGGGCCTTTCACTGCCGTGGCCTTTCCCGCTGCGGAGCACAGGCTCCAGACGCGTAGGCTCAGCGGCCATGGCTCACGGGCCCAGCTGCTCCATGGCATGTGGGATCTTCCCAGACCGGGGCACGAACCCGTGTCCCCTGCATCGGCAGGCAGACTCCCAACCACTGCGCCACCAGGGAAGCCCCAGCAGGTGAATTCTTAACCACTGCACCACCAGGGAAGTCCCTCCAACAACGAATTATCTAGTTCAAAATGTCACTGGGCTTCCCTGGTGGCGCAGTGGTTGGGAGTCCGCCTGCCGATGCAGGGGACGCGGGTTCGTGCCCTGGTCCGGGAGGATCCCACGTGCCGCAGAGCGGCTGGGCCCGTGAGCCGTGGCCGCTGGGCCTGCGCATCCGGAGCCTGTGCTCCGCAACGGGAGAGGCCACAACAGTGAGAGGCCCGCATACCGCCAAAAAAAAACCAAAAAACAAAATGTCACTAGTAGCAAGGTTGAGAAATCCTGATTTAATCCTTACCACTAAATTATGAGTTATATAGCTAGTAAGTGGTGGGGCAGGAATCTATACCCAGCAAAATTAAACTGCTACTCTGCCTCTCAAGGTGGAGAGAAGCCTTGTTAAAGGGCTTTGAAAGTTAGGCAAGAAGTTTTTACTTGATGGAGGAGGAAAACAAGGAACTAGTGAAGATCAGCAGGCACGAGGATGACAAGACGAAAATTCTGTTTAAGGAGGTCCCCCCACCATGTGACAGACGGATGGCTTGGAGAGGAAAGAGCCTGCAGTGAGGAAGGTCAGGTTCAAGTTGGTATTAATAATCCAGGTGATGGGGCCCTGGATTTGGCATAAGCAATGGAGAGGAAGTGATGGGTGTATGCACTCATGTACACACACACACGCACGCACACACACACACACACACACACACACACACACACACACACACACCAGTGGAACTTGTGACCTATGGAGAGTGAAGGAAGTAGGAAAAGCTGATTCCAAGGTGTTTGGAGCCTAAGTAAACTTAGATAATGGAGATGCCCTTGGAAGGGGCACCAGTTTTCAGGATGAATTAAAATTCCAGACAGGTTTTTAAAGTGACAGCAAGGGTGGCAAAGAGAAAAGGGTGACTTTGGGCAAATTTGACAAGTTTTATCATTTCAGCAGCCGTATGACCCAACTGAAATAGTAATACTTGCCCTACCTCCCTCACAAGGTGGTTGTATGAATCAAATGCAAAGAGAGACGTGAATTCATTTCTACCATATAAAATATGACTTAAGTGGGGGAATTCCCTGGTGGTCCAGTGGTTAGGACTCTGTGCTTACACTGCAGGGGTCACGGGTTCGACCCCTGGTTGGGGAACTAGGATCCTGCATGCCGCGTGGCACGGACAAATAAATAAATAAATAACTATGTCTTAAATGTGAGGATGGGCCTATTGCCATCAGTGGGACAGGAAATGAGGATTTGGGCTCCTCATAGCAGAGGTGATTAAAATCTGAAGAATGAGTGAATTGTCTGAAGGAGAGATTTTAGAGGCAGGAGAACAGAAGGCCAAAAACACCTACTGTCGGAGGTGAGAGAAGAAAGAGGGACCAGCAAAAGAGAGAAAGCAATCTAGTTCCCATCAGCTCGTGGAAACAGAGACAGTTGGAAATACCTTTCAGTCAAGGATTCAAGTCTACCTTATAAACTACTTATTTCAACTGCTTAATTACAACTGCTTTGTTCTAAAAAAATATGTATTTTCAAATTGCAGACATGCAGCCCCATCCCGGTGTTGATGTCACTCTTCTCTCTCTCCCACAGATTGACTTTGTGGCCCACGATGACATTCCGTACTCCTCTGCTGGCTCTGATGATGTTTACAAGCATATAAAGGAAGCAGGTGAGGGTCGTCCTGTGCTCACCTGTCCCTTGCGGCATAGTAATCAGGGTTAAGAAGAGACGTCTGCCCTGGGCCTGCAGCATATACGTACAAGGCACTGGAGTTTCACATGTCTCCCAAGTAGCCTCTGCAAGCCTCTGTTGACATGTGCTAAGGCTCAGCTGTGGCACAGACACCAGTTAGGTATTTATATAGAAATTAACCTGAGCACCAAAGTACTCAACTTCGGGTTTAAGGCTCGATTTTTTTTTTTTTTTTTTTTTTTTGCGTACGGGGG